TATAATCTTAGGCAAAATACTGTTTTAGCAGGAAACACTTGGTTTGTACCTTACTAGATAACAGTGGTTTTAACTTAGAATAATAAAACTAATATACACAGCATGGTCACAAGTAAATAGACACCATCTTTTCAGAAAAAAATGAAAATTTTCAGTCATATTCACATGAATTGATATATTTATAATTTAATTAATATCTAGTAGACCTTCCTTTTGCCTCGTGGAGTTCATTGATCCTTTGGGGCATCATGAGAATCATCTCATCAGTTTTAGATTGTGGGATTTTTTGTGAAACATTTGAGTTTTACAAATGTTTTGTGTATCATGCCTTTGCTGCATTTGTAGTAAGTAATGGTAATGGTAGAATGAGATAGCATATTACATTGTGTATAATGCTGAGAAGCATAGATTGACAAGGTGAAATTAGTTTTTTCATGTTTATTATCAAATAGTATACAATGTAGAGCTTACCATTTCAATTTGTTAATTAATGCATACATAAAACGATGACTTATAATGTATACCATGACATATGCTTTCTGACCAGAATATTTTGTGCTTATCTTGATTTTGACAGAATGTTTTGATAATTGTTTTAGGTGTATGTAGTTGTGATTATATTAAATTATCAGAAAGTTGACTTAATTTAATTCTCTTAAAAGTTTATTTGTGTTTATAAAAAGTAAATTTTTACCTTTTTAAATGTGAGCAACCTCATAACAGAGATAAAGATTATTAACCTTATAGTAGAATATCTTATAACCCTGTGTGAAAGGCATTGGTGCATTGCATCAACACCTGTTTACTATAATTCCAAATTTACTAAGTGTATTTTCACAAAATTTGGTAAGCATGTTGTACACAAAATATCACATTTTTAGTAAAGTATTTGTTTGTGTATTATGAGTCAGTTTGACTGACACTGACTAGTCTGAGTGCAAGGTGATTTTCATGTTAATAATAAATTTTTTTTTCCTCATACAATTTTAATATTTTGTTTACATGACATGTGGAACCTTCTAAATGAATATCAAAAGTTATTTTTTTCAGTAAAACTATATTTTGAGTGTTATATTCTCTTCACTAACAGTTTAGGAAAATCGACAATATAGGATAATAGTTGAAAGTTATGAAATAAATCTAAATTACCTTCTTTTTTTTCTTTACAGAAAGACTGCAAATTGTAACACAATTACACACTTTATTCTTACAGTCAAAGCTAAAAGATTTTTCAAATCTGGGGTCATTTTGTTTTATTGCTTTACAGTTGTACTTAGGCCCTCTCAGCATGGTAAGCCATTTATGAAGGGGTAACGTTGTATAAACAAATGATTGAATTAATGACATGCATTCTGAAATTATACAGCTATTCCTTCTTATGTGCTTGTGGTATAATGAGTGAATTGTTTATTTAATGCTTAAATGTGGGTGTTAATTTATTGTTGCAAAAGATTGAACCTTAACCTTACTTTTCTGTAATAGTGTTGGTAGTACATGAAATCATTTATTTCAGATATGCAACTTAGAATTCAAAATGTTATCATGCACAAAAAATAGGATGTTCCAAAAACTACTATAATTCAATTAGCTTTGTAACTAAGCTATAAATAGGTTAAAAATTCTATTAGCTGGTCAAACTAGTTTCCACAATAGTAAACTAAAGAAACTGGTACCAAATAGAATGAATTAACCTCAAAGAAAGCAGAAATGTAGAATCTTCTCTTTCTATTGGTTATGAATATTCCAAAAGAAAATGTCAAAGAGAATTATTCAGTTTTTTTTTTGTGATAGAAGAGGATAGCATGTGAATGCCTTTCTTATTTAGGTGTTAGTTATGCACAAAGGAGGCTATAAGTATATATTATAGCTTAGCTATATCTATACTAAACTTGAATATCATACAAGGGGATAAAGAAAATCTAAAATGGGTAATTTTGAGCAAAGAAGTGTCCTGATACAGAAAAGGGAAGACTGTGAATTTATTTAAATATTTCATATTGTATAATAGTAAAACTTGAATTATGAAACTATGTTTTGATTCCTAGTTTACTGACATATTGATAAAAGTTTTTAATTAAATTTTGAATATAACTCTAAAATTGATGTGACATGCACTTTGACCCAACTGTACACATAAGGTTTAAGGTTAAAGGTTTAAATGTATGTATAGAAACCAAAGCATCAGAGTTAATATGCCTTTTTACATATTCTCACTTACTATTGTGTTTTTAGTTTTAAAGTTGTATTGTTGAAGACCTGAATTCTGATCAGTAATGCTGGAGATTTGTTTCACAGGCTTCAGTTAAATTTAAATGTGATGTATGAAGTTTAAAATCTTCTAATGCTTCAAGATTTGAAAGGTCTGGAAGTGAAACAATAAAACTACTGCTGAAGCTGTCAACATAGTCATCTGTAGTGAACTATTTTTACATATTTGTTACACATTTGTGAATGTTGTTTTAGTTCAAGTCTTGATTTAGTATGTGATTAGTGTATATAAATATATTTCATATATAGTTTTTAATTCTCAGATTGAAAAAGTCGAACTCATCAGAGATACAGAGACAGGAAGATCTAAAGGTTATGGATTCATTACAGTAAGCAACTTTCAATATTTTTCATCGTTCAATATACAGAGGATGGTGCTTTTTTTCTTGTCTCACTTGAAACCATTTCAATACAGAAAGCATTTTTTTTTCTAACTTTAAATCATCAGTGTGTCAAGTTTTTTTGTTCTTCCAGGTGTTCTGTGGTAATATGTTAATAATATATATTGCTTATCTAGTTTATCCTAAACAAATATTCAAAATATGTTCAAACTTTATCATGTCTCATTGTGTCTTAACCCTTTCACATTGGTCTCGTGCAATTTGCGGGAACCTGACTGGAGAATGAGACATGTGCAACAATACATATGGTAACTCTAAGATTTCAAAACGTGTCCTAACAAAAACTGGTAAGATTTTGTTAAAGATAATAAGTATCTTGTATACAAAGAATGACATTATTTTAATAAAGTCATTCTAATAAAAACATGTTATCTATTTATTGTAGTTATTTGCACTCAAACTCTGAATAGTTCAAGTCCAAGTTGCTTTTCATTTTAAGTAAAAAAAGTACTTTTCTTCTTCTTGTTGGCAAAATTGTTTGGGTTTCAATGCAATGGACGATTTGAGCACAATAAAGTGCAACAGGTTTGCTAAGTAGCCATGGGAATTTTCTCTGCTGTGTGCCACAGTTCTTTGTCATTTCACTGAGTGCAAGAAAAGACCATTACCAAAATGAGTGCTTTTTTACAGTTATCATTCTGTAAGAAGTGTCAAAGAAGAGATATTCAATTCAAATCAATCTATTTGATATGGTGTGATAAAATCATGCATGTATATAACACTGACATGAAAATATATATAGAAATATAAACTGAACAGCAACAAATATATGCTCTAACCTGTTCATCTGTTTATGTGTTTTTCCATTTATGCTCTTATTTTCCAAATATTTCTTTCTATCAGTTCATAGAAGAAGTCTTGTTTTTTTCCTGAAATTCTCACAAAAAGAAACATTTTTGTTGTTAGGTTTTTTTTTTCTCAGATTGACCATTCCGCATGTACAAAAAAACTGATGGATTGATGTTGATATCAGTATTAAATTTCAGGAAATGCAAAAAAATTAAATATATTCCTGTCATTTACTGTTGAAAAAAAAGTATTTTGATATATAATATTTTTTTCTACAGTTAATGATTCAGGATTATGATATATAAGTACTTTTAACTCTCTCAATACAGACTAGGTTGATTTGACTGACCACATGACCTCTTTGTACTCGTTTTAAAGTCATTATAGTTTGATACTACTAATTTT